TCCTACAGCATATTCCAGCACAATGAAGAGCCACCTCTTCCTAGGGAAGTGTGGTCCACCAGTCTGCTAGATCAGAGAGTCTGTGCAGGTCAGGAGTTTCCATCCAGATGTCTCTGAACCATAGTTTAACATCCGAGGTTTCTCTGCAAAGCCCTCAACTTTGTATAATAGATTTGCCTTGATTGAAGATTCAAGTATTTCTGGAGCTTTGTGACTCCAACAGTCTTCAACCTGTTGCTCGACTGTATTCATACTTCCACTGCAGGTAATGAGGACTTCAAATCACAGGGCCTCTGTGACTGTAACACCTAGCCATTAACTGCTTGCTAATAGCCCTTACTATCTCAGTATCTTTTTGCATGCCATCAATACAGTACAGCAGGACCCAGCCAATTCCACTGTGTCTGTAGTTATTCTCCCTATCTCCAACCCCCCAGCTAAATTTTTCAAATGCCTGCATCATTTCACCTGCCAGGACACTCCTCTCCTTTGGGACTGATTTCTTTCTGTCCTTTTATTTTTTCAAGTCACTGCAGGTAATATTATTAGCAATCACACTGCCACTTTGTGCCAAAGAATATCCACGTGTCATTTACTAACTTGAATGACGTTCTCTTCCCCGTTGTGGTGGTGGTGAGCCAGGCCCAAGTCCACCGCTTACTGCCTGTTTTCTCAGATCACTCTACTGCCCAGAGTCTATTATCTAGGTTTAATAAGAAATAAACATTAAGATGGGTTTAATCGGGTAAGATTTTACTAGAGGAAATGCCTCTATGACAGAAAATGGGAGGGCTTGTAGGAAGCTGTGGGAGGCAAATCTGACTCCTCAAGAAAGATTGGATGGAAGCATCCTAGTCTGTCCCTGCAACCATAGGAGATTCAGCAGAATCATCAGAAGAGCCTTGGTGCCGACTTTAGGATTCCTGCATGCTCAGTCATGGGCTGGGAGCGGCCAGGAAGAAGTATGGCCTCGATGGAAATACCGTGTTGGCTTTAGAGTGGAGCAGCTGATGCCTTTGGCCAATTAAGCTCCCTAGGGTTGGAGGTCTGCCAGGTGTATCCCCATGGCTGCCACACTAGATGAATGAAATACAACCCATTAGCTCAGAGGGTAGAGACCGGTAGGTCACACACTCAAATAGCTGTAGGGATGAGGTAATATAAATGAATCAAAGTAGGCAGCCTGACTACTAGAAGAAACACTGCTCAAGCTAGAAGATGACTTGGCCTCAACACTGGAAAAACAGCAGAGTTCGGTTCTGTATGGTATTGATTGTTACATGGAAAAGATGGAGTCTCGAATTGCCAGATCTTATTTTTTTGAGAAGCCAGAAATGTAGATATGTATATGATATGTGAATTTTACATACTGAAAACTAAGTTTTAAAATTCTATTGGACTACTGTAATAGAAGTTGATTTTGGCCTAAAGACTTTGAGTTTATGCTCCATTTATCTTAATAGAGGATCCATTCTTCTGACTTTCCTCTCCATTTATATACCACAGGGAAAATGCTATACCCCACACAGCTCCTCATACACCCCCAAATGTAAGGTGGGAGAACTCCATAGCCTACCCTTCTCCATGCTTCCTAGTACTTGAATTCCTGGTACTCCTGGGCAAAGGTACAAGCTTATGAAGTTCATTGAAGCAATTTCTGTTCCCTTATGCTATGCCTGTGTCATGGTCACTGCCAAGGATGCCCGCAACCCTTCTCTACAAGTAGCCATTGATACACTTTCTGACATTTTCTCCAGTCCTTGCCTAAATTCTTCCCAGATCCAAAGTTAACTGCATATGTTACCATTTCAGCTCAAACTAATAGTCACTTTTATACTATTACACTGTTTTCTTTGAACAAAATACGTTCTGCATGTATGCATCTGTAACTTGCCATCCCTCTTTTATTTTGCAGATGCAAACCAAGAAAATAAAAATTCCTGAGAATTATTTCCCCTTGATATAGAACCTCAGCCTCAAAATTTTTCTGAAACTAGGGCGGGATGCGAACTGAGGTTTGCTATGTCAGGATGTATTTTTCCCAGTGAGAGAGTAGTTTTCATCTGAGTCTTAAATGAGTCCTTGACCCAGAAAATATGTGTGAAAATTTGTGTTCTTTGTTGCAATGTTTTTTCTTCTCTTTTCTTTTTCCTGATTCAGACCTCTTCTGGAGGGGAATGTAGTTGGCCCCAGGCACCTTTCAGGCATTTTTCTATGCTCTCTGTTTCAGAGCCATGACTTTCTTATCCACCAGTAATAGTAATTTAAGGAAGTAAATTTTTTCTTCTGCACATTTCTCCCCACCCCTACCATTCCTTCCTTAAAATTAGTCCCATTCAATAAATGTGCAGTTACATTATTCCACCATTCTTTGCTTAAGTGTCCATTGAGTAAAGAGCATGTAGGAAGTTTGGGGCCTTTTCTTGGGCATTCTTTCCAGCCTCTTGCAACCCCAACCTAAGCTTCTTGTTTGTACTCTACACTAAAAGCAATTTAAAATAAAAAATTAAAAGTGTTATTATTATTAAACCCATAGATATGGAAGACTCGTTCATCCATTTCCTTACAAAAACAATACCGTGAAGCTTACAGTTACTGTTAGAAGGTCATTGAGGAATACCAATCAGTGCATTAAACCAGGTCTTTTGTGAGGGTCCATAGAATACATTTTGCTCTGATGTCAAAATGGAAAAAGTATGTCAAAAAGTAGGAAAAGTTACTACTCCCTTTGAGAAATTTGTTGTTTTTATCTTAACATACTGTGAATGTAAGTGAATAAACGCTATTCTTCTGGAAAGGTTGGATGGAGCCAGTCTGTGAACTTTCCAAAAAGATCAGTGGTATTTATTTTGTGTTAAGCTTATGCTGGCTCCAATTTACTTCTACAACCTTATTTTCTCTTTGTTTTGCCTCTCATTTGAGAATTTAATCTTACTTCTATATAGCATATGTTTTTCTTTGTATATATTCTTAAAAATCCTTTCTGGACCAAAGCAACACATAAATAAATTACGCATAGTGTGAACACTCCTCCAGGTTACAAGTTCCTAATTTCATTGAATGACCACATCCAGAACGTAAATATCATGTAAGATTTCGTGTGACCCTTTAGCCTGTCTGATTCCAAGACATAGTGCCACAGATGAGATGAATTTCAGAGTTGTTTCCTGAGTGCATGGTGACTTTTATTGAAAGCACATTGGAGAACGAAGGAGTGGAGTGAAATTAGGTTGTGTCCACCAGCAAAGAATGTGGGGTGTGTGGCTGCAACTGCTGACAGTTTTCAATCCCTGTGTCTCCCCACTGACAGGATACTCTAGTGAGATGTCACTTCCTGCAGAAATCTCCTGACCTTCTACACCCAGATATTTCTAAAGGAGAGCAAGATTTGCTGCCCTTTCATCCAGACAGGGATAAAGAGAAGCACATCATGAGCAAACCAGGGTTCTATTAAACTTCTGAGGCTTAAACTCTTTCTTTGATTGATGACATTTCATAAGAAGACTCAGATGTTTGCCTTGCCTGATACGGTCTTTACACTTTTCTTTTGCATGTAATATAAGGATTCTGATGTCTCCAGTTTTTTTTTCTGTGCAAGCTTTTGTTTCATTGCAGCATGGATACATTTATTTTTGCTATTTCCTGTATTATAATTTAATGTATCATGTATGTAACTTACATTTAGTCAGACCTTAAAGGGTTAAATTGTCAGAAGGAAATTCACTTTTTCAAAATGGTGACTGTCACAGTTCCACTGCCTGCCACCCTCCCAAAGCTTCCCACTGACTTTAGAGTGAATCCCAGCTTTGTATCCTAACAGAAGTCTTTCCTAGCCTGATGAGAGATTCCTCTCTCCTCACCTCCCACCAATCTCCCTTTCATTTTCCAGGTCCAGTGAAACAGATCCTCCTTTGATTCTTCTTAGCAATATTGGTGCCCCCTCAGGCATTTGAACTTACTCCTCCCTTTTCGTGGACATCACCCCTAGAATCTGTACATGCCTGACTTTCTCTTTACTCACATTTGACTGAAATACACCTCTTAGATGCTTTTTATGAACCATAGTCTATGTTGTTTGTAATAGACTACTTCCCCACCCGGGCACCATTATCACATCATTATATTCTTTTATACAGATTACCCTAACTCATTTGTTTATTTATTCATTTACTTATTTATTGTTTTGTTTCCATTGATTGAATATAAACTCCTTGAGGGAGTAATCCAGTTTGGTGTGTTGAATGCCTTATCTCCTGTTTCTCTGACAGCACCTGGTATGCAATAGGCTCTTAATCAACTCTTTGCATTGTTTTTTTTCTTAATAAATAAAAAGGGGTTGGTTTTACATACAAGCAATGCCAGGTATTAACCTCAGTTGTGCTTATGAGAGAGAGTTGTAAAAAATCAGGAGTGAAAAGTGGTATTAATTGACTTCGTCTCCTGTGCTAGGCACTTTCCTAAGCATACTGATGCATTATCTCATTTAATCCTAAAACAAACTTCTGTAGCAGTAACAATAATGAGCTCCATTTTACAATTGAGGAGTTTGAGGTAAAGAGCTCAGAAACAGTGTGGGAACTAGGTTTTGAGTCCAGGTAATCTGATAAATGGCTGTTGTGACTTTCAGAAGGGAGAAGAAAGAGTAATTTTCCCCCTCTCAGCACAGGGGCCAGTGGACGCTGCTCTCCTTGCCGTTCGCCTGGCCGCAGTCCAGGCAGGTGGTGAAGCCTTTTGCTCTGAGGGTGGCCCAGAGGATCTCTCCCCTCTGCACAGAACTTTCCTGCCCACACTGTCTTTGGGTGTGCTGTTCAGTCCCTCCCTAAACATTTCTATCGTGTTTGCTTTTTTGATTACAAAAGTATTTGCTCACTCCAAAGAATTTTGTAAGGAGTAAAAATGTATTTATACCACTGTAAATATCCCCTATAATCTCTAAATTGTTCACAGTTATTCCTTTATAATTAGACACTGCGTCCACATGGCTTTATGTGCTGTTTCAGGTCTTCTGAGAAGCAGATGCCAAGATGGAACCAGAAATGCAAGAGATTTATTGGAGAAAATACCTGTGCCAGAACAGAGGTGAGAGGGCCCGAGAGGACAGGAAAGTCTTCAGGTCATGATGCCGGCCTGACCCCAGTAAAGGAGTGCAAGGAGAGAGAAGGACAGGGTGGGGGGCGTTTTGCGCTGGAGGGCCAGACAAAGCGTCCCAGTGCAGTGGGCTCGGAGGCCAAGCGGCTGGGGCTGCCCATCCGCTGTGCTCATTTTCTTGGTCACCGAGATGCATTTGTCAGGCGGTACCCTCCGTTTCCCCGTGCACCCTCCAGGAAGATCTCTGCATGCGCCTCCCAACCTGAGGAGAGAGAGAAAAGAGGGAATTTAGTAGTGTGGGCAACAGTCTGTGTCTCTGCTGTTGATGTAGAGGCCACATCCGTCTTCTCCCTCCTCTCCCATCCTTTCTGAATATCCTCCATCTTCAGCTCTTTCCTCGTCTGGTCCTGTGGCTTGCCTGGTCGTGTGACTCAAACCTGCATCACAGCCACTGCAGGCTAGAGGCACTGCATGTGTTTGTTTATGATTACAGAGGGGCCAGGGAATGCCAGAGGCACCAGGTGGGTCACCTGGGCTCCCATCTCCATTGTATGAAAGCATCCCTCCATCCGTCTGACAACCACAGCCAGTGATCTCTGCCGCAACAGTGACTTATCTCCTTACCTGATGGGTACTGGGCACCAGAAATGCAAAATTCCCTGGTGGCAGGCATAACTTGTAGTTCAGTGACACTCTACTGTGTCCCCCACCATCCCCTTTGTGGACTAGAACACCCAACACTAGAGATCCCAGAGTTGGTTTGTATGGGAATAGCAATTCTTCAGTAAGTCTCCAGTGGTGACAGTGAGATCAGATCAGGCCCCTTCATGCTTCTAACCCCTGGTTCCCAGACCCATGTGACCTTCCTTTTGGTGACACAGAATCATAGTGGACTTTCCTGGTTTCATTCACTCACATCAAAATGATACCACCCCATCTTCTCTGAATATTACCTCCAAGCTAGAGCATCGGTCATGCCCCTGGGAGGCTGTTCCATCGCTCTGTGGGGCCGGCTAACTCGAGAGGATGAGGTGTGTGATGTGACTAGTGAATTCCCTAGTCACAGGTCCACTCCCACACCTCCTTGCCGTGAAGTGGGTCTGCTAACTGCATGCTCTGTTCTAGGGGCTCAGTGTCTGTGGATCAGGCATTCATTCGGTAAGCCTCAGGATAGTGGTGGTGCCTGAATCTTCAAAGGCAGGAAAGACCAATCCATACTCTGAGTAGGTGTTTATTCTCTGAAGATGAACCACAGCCCATCTCAGCGTGGGAAGAGCCCAAGGGAAGTTGATTTTCCATGGGGCTGGTTAGTCTCTCGAGGGAATAGTGCCACATTGTTGGGGTTGGAGTAAAGGGGTCTTGTGCTATTATAGACTAAACTGTGTCCTTCCAAAATTGACATGTTGAAGATTTAGCTCCCAGAATGGCTGTATTTGGAGAAAGGACTTTAAGGAGGTAATTAAGGTCAAATGGGGTCATGAGGGTGGAGCCCTAATTCAACAGGACTGGTGTCCTTATAGACAGAGGGAAAGACACTAGCAGTCACTCTCTGTCTCCATGTGCACATAGAAGAGGGGACCATGTGAAGTTGACATCTACAAGCCCAGCAGAGAGGCCTCGTCAGAAGCCAACCATGCTAGCACCTTGATCTTGGACTTCCAGCCTCTGGAACTGTAAGAAAATCAATTTCTGTTGTTTATTAGCCACCCAGTCTATCGTATTGTGTTAAGTCAGCCTGAGCAGACTAATATGGCTACCAACACAGTAGAAACTCAGAGATGCAGCTCTGGGTGTGAGTCCATTATCGTCGCCTCAGCAGATCTGAGAGTGGGACATTTTCAAGACTTCCCCACCATTTTATCTTATTGTTTATTAGGCAGGTACCTCTGGAAAAGTTGGAATTGTTTTAAATATAGTTAGCTATAAAATTATAGTAAAAAGCATTCTCCATGCACATTCTTATTGCTCACCCAAATATTTAAGTTAACAGTGTTAGGGAAGAGATAATTGATACAATGTCTCAGCCATTACAGCTTCTGGGAAATGATGGAAAACTCAGTTAACACTGTATGATGTTTTCTGCAAGAAAGTATCTTTTACCTTCAATTTCAAGAGGTATTTTGTGGAGATTGCCAAAACTATAAAGTAGAATTATCTTGAATATCTTTTTATGATTCATTTATTAAACAGTATGAATAAATGTGAATCTGGTGGTTTTCAAATCTCAAAGTAGAAACAAAAGGAAATTACTTTCTACTTCTTTGGAGTTGACATCTCTCAACCAGTAGATAAATTCCTAAGTAATTCAGCAAATTTTATTTTGCACCCAGTATGTGTGTACCTGGAGATGTTGTGGGGATACAGCAATGAAAAAATCCCCCAGGAGGTTATAGACAGATGGAGTCCTTCTTGGAGCTTCACTGATGGCGTCAAGGTTAAATAGTTGTTACATCTTTTGATGCAGCTTTTGAGGCCTTCTATCTACTTTAATTCCATTAGCATCTGCACAATGAAGAAGAACAGCCTAATGAGAGGAAACATTGCCCAGAGTATCTGTCATTTTATTCAGCTGATACACACTGTGAACATAAATCTTACTAACAGGGTCAGCAAGAACGGACATTGTCATACTGTGTATAACAGGCTGGAAGTAATGACAGAACAAAGGAAACTCAATTCATGCAACAAATATAGTTGAAACCGAATTCACGGCCTGCAGAAATGGGGCCTACCGAGTATTTCTAATTGTTTTGTATTATTATTCCCTTAACTTATATGTTATAGAACATTTTGATAATGTGTTTTAATGGGAGAAGATATTTATTAAATAGTAAATATTTCCCAGTGATGGAATTTTTTTTCACCACTTCCCAAAAGTATTTTGATTTTTTAAGGTAGCACTATTATTTTGGCTCTGACCAAATCCCTTTTGTGAAAAACCACTGGTGTAGTACGCACACGTGTGTGTGTGTGTCTATGTGTGCATTCCTGGGGAAAATCCTTCTAGTTTTTCCTATATTATCTAGTTTTTCGTTTTACACTATGTATATTCTAGGATTCCTGCTCAACTACTATTCCATATTAAATTGCTAATCCTCATGAGGAAATGTCTTTTCTTCCCTTAAAGAGATTTAATATAGTCTTACAAAGGTTTATTCCTAAGACCTTTAGCTATATCCAATAAATATGTCCAAGTAAGAACATGCATTATTTTTCATATCATCAAACTCAAGAACAGTGCTCCATAAGATTCATGCATGTACCTCTCATTACATGTACCTAGGAACACAGGAACATGTTTTTCTTTTTAAATGTTTTCCAAGAGTCACAGTACATATGTGGAAGTATGATTGAGCTGAGCAGGTTTTGCTTTTTGAATGCAGTTCACATGAAACTCCTTTGAAAAAATATGCCCTGAGATGTGGTGGAAAATTTTCTTCTGAGTTAAATTGAAAAAGCCTACCCCATAATTAGTCATATTTGCTAAAATACTAAAAATTGCCACATCATTTTTTGCATAATTTGGTTGCTAGACTACATAGTTAATGATGTGTGATCTATGAAGGTGTGAGTACTCCCTTAGCACTCTGACAAAGCATTGCAGTTAATTATTCCTCCTTACAATTTATCTTCAATTTTGAATGTGATCCCATTAGCAAAAGTTTTATGAATAAAAAGTATCTTCATTATATCGTTTGCTTTCTGCATGAGGGAATGCATGACTCGGGCAAGGAGCTGCTCTTCAAGTGTGGTCCTTCTGTTTTCTTAAGCAATATAAATAATTGTCCATTTTTGCTTATTGATTTTTTGCCATGGGTCTAATCTCATTATTTTATTATTAGTCACTGAACACTACTTCAGTTAGCTCCCATTTTGTAGATAGTGGCCTGTTAACTAGTACTAATATTGCTGGTGTAAAAAACAATCTGTGTTTCACCCAAATGTGATTAGAGAATTACATAATTATGTAATTAGGGTTCTGATTAGCTTAATTTGATTTGGATAGACAGTGATCCACATCTCAAAGATGCAGGAAGCATAAAAATTTCTGCAGCAAACATAACACTGCCCGAGTTTTATACTGTAGATGATATGTGACAACATATTTGTTCTATATAATTTTCTAAAATGGCAGTTCAATAAATTCAGCAGATAAGTAACTCAAAACACCAAACTCATATATATTATAGGAATAAGCCAGGTATCTTCTGGGTGGAATCTCCCACACCTTTGAAATCAGTTAAGTTAGGCTCCAACTCCCAAACATGCCTTTTGGAATTCAAAGCCCTTTTCTAACCTTGTGTGAATATACTGGCCCTTCTGCTTTTGCACGTGGTGTTTCACTCCCTACACCTCAGAAGTGAAGCTTGTTCCCATTCACAACACTTCGGGGAAAACATCCTACAAAAATGTAACAGAGGTGTTTCCATCAAATACCAATGGGAAGCGTATTACGGTGGGCCTGGAGTTGGAAGAGGAGAGGCTGTACAGTAAAGCCATAGAGATTATGAGACATAGTTCATTTCCCCTGGATACTTCGCACAGGTATTCCTGCCACACACCATCTGTCTGGTTCCTCTGACTCTCTCACTATTCTTTGTCTCCATACACTTCTCTCTGAAGAGCGATGCAAATTCCCATTCTCTCTTTCGTAAAGTTTAGTTCCAATTCATCGCATCTTGCTTTTCCTGATACTAACACCCATAGGACTCCACCTCCAGGAAAAGCAGTTGAGCAGGATAATTATCCAAAGATATTTCTTTTCTAAGTAAGTTTTTGTCTTTGCTTTGCCGCTGTGACTTTTGCTAATGCAGTGTTCCAATGCGAATGCAGAGGTTCTCTTGACATTCTCTGGTTGGGACTGCAGGGGGCGTCTTGAGGTCGGTGGTCTACATAGCTCCTTTACAGAGCCGTTGACTGCATCAGTCACCAAGTTCACCCTATGGTAAAGCCCCATCTGTGAGAGCAAAGCAGTATTTTCAACGAAAATAATTCAAGGGACTCTTCTGCTGTCTTACCAGCCATGACTATATATGGAAAGTGAATCTTCTCTTTGTATCTAAGAAGTGACAAGTATATTCCTAGCCTGCAGAGGATCGGGGAAAACCTGCATTTATTAGGTAATAAATTGCTAGATTTTGTGTTATACTCTCATAATAAAATTACATTGATTATGTAATAATTTCTAAATTGGAATGTGTTAGCAGAAAGTCAAGCAATACTTTCTTGTCTTGGTATTTTCTCAGAAATAATATCTGTTAAATGCCCTATTTTCAGAACAGAATCATTGATCCACAACTGAATGATTGTCTGTTTAGAAGTGCTTCAAGAATTACAACAAAAAACTGAAGTATTTAGGAAAACTGTTCAGAACTGAAAAATTATTATTTAAAATTAACCCAATTGGGTTGAAATTTTGCTTTTTATTTCACACTTAATCCATCCACTTTTTCTGAATACACTCTCTCACAGACATATAATTCATTTTTGGAAGAGAATATTGAAAATATTTATTTTGAAAATGATATGGACTGAGTATACAAAAATGTCAGACATGTTTCCATAAACCTTACATGCTCTTATTTTAGACTTGTTTTCATATTTAAGAATTATTTGACACTGTTGCTTGGCAACAGCCTGGTCATTTAATTCAAAAGCAAGTTCTCAATTACAAAACCTTTTGTAAGAAAGAAATCAGTCATTTTTTTTCACATATAGGAAAAAATACAGAGTACGTCTTTTGTTGTACATAAAGGAACTATAGTATTAAATGCTGAAAAATAACATTCTAAGTTATTTGTTGTTGTCTTTATTTTATTCTAAGTCTCTTTTTCTAAGCCGTTAGTGACTGTGAATTCAGTTGTTCTTCACTCTGTTCAATTGCTGGATAGTACGACATTCAGTTTACGTCCAAAAGGTTAAGTGTATGTGGAGATCCTAATCTTTTAAGAAAAATCTGGATGAAAAATTGGTCCTTTGTTTTCTGATTCTGTGTTGCCTGAAGAAGATTAAGTATGGACTTAATATTTAAAACACATAAACATTGTATTATATGCTCAGCCCTTATGCATTTATTAAGAAACTTGTTACATTCTGCTGGATATTAGGGTTTTGTTCATATTTCATCCTCTACACTAGTTTCTGTGTACCTTAAAATCAGAGACCTTTTGTTTTCATTTTTGAGTTCCTATAAACTAGTAATATCTTGTATCTAATAAACACTCCATAAATATGTTGAATATTTTAATAATAATAATTATAATAATAATGATGGTATTTTTAAGCAGGTATCTGTCATGTACTAAAGTGCTCTATTTCACTCATAGTAGCAATTATGGTAATTTTTTTTGTTAGTTTATATCAAGAAGAGAAAAAACTGTAGAATAATAGCAACTGTAAGGTTGGGAAACACTGAAATAGATGGCCAAGCATTTGTAGTCTTCCATACTATGATAAATAAGGTAAAGTGAAATGCTTATATTTTTAAGTATTGATGGGTTTAACAATTGTTTTTGCAAGCATAGATCTCAGACAATCAGGAATAATTGACTATCTTTTGGTGTAGTGGATATCTCTTAATTTATCCTGTGCAGCTTCTATTGTCTCTTCTGGTAAC